CCCAGTGGCCACTTCTCCTGAGGTGATCTGAGAAACCCACGTCTCGTGGCACAGCCCAGGCCCGGACCAGACCAGGCCAGGCTTGCCAAATGCCAGACCACTTCAAGACAAGCCTGACAACACCCGACAGCCTCCCAAACTGCTCTCGACGGCACGAAACGGCACACTCACCGCCAAGCCTGACGCTCCAGCCAGCCGCCAGCCTCGGGTCCAACCAACGACACTGTGACTGACCTGAGGTATTCCAGTGGCGGGGCGGATACTGGACGGAACCATCTCACCGTCCACATCCAGCGTTGCGGCCTGGAACCACCTGTGCCGATGGGTTTCACAGCGCTCCTCGGTGTCAGTCACAGGCCACGTCTGCACTGAACGAGCAGCGGTGGGGCAGGTTCCAGCGGGGCTTCCTCACTGAATCAGGGCTAGTGCGGGGTTCCTGCTGCGCCCACTGCTGGCATTTCTGGGCCTGCAGCACCTCACCATTTCCCACCCGTCCCAGTCCTAGTCCCAGTCACAGTCGCAGTTCCAGTTCCCCCATCCCAACCCATCCCATCTCATTCCAATCCCGCCCCATCCCGGCCAGGTAGTGTGCTCCAGCCGGTCCTCTCACCTCAGCCAGTCCCAGATCTGGGTCCTGATTGATGTGCTGCTGCTGTATCCGTGTTCTTTAGGCTGTGATCCTCAGGCTGTGAGAGGGTGAATTGCAGTGAAGGTGCTAATTATATGCGCGTGTGAGGTGGGGGGGCAATGAATTGGAGTTGGAACCCTTGTTCGCGCCAGCCAGCCTTCGCAGGAAGCTCCGATGACGAAACCCAGGTAGAGGGCGCAGCCTCTTTTCTTTTCTTTCTTCATCTTGCTTCACCTTCCATTCCTCCCTCGCCATCGTCTCTGCACCCGCCCACGTTGAGATAGATCCCTTCGCCAATCCTTGTGCCACGAGAACACCAGACCTGATGATTGAAGCCGCCACCATCCCGTCCGCCCCTGCCATGGCAGACTCCTCAAAGGGCCTACAGGCGCTGCGCGAGTCCAAACCCCCTGCCACCGACACCTTCACCTATCTGACCATCATCGGCGAGGTCCTGTCTCCTGAGATCCTGCCAGAGCTCAACGACATTCTGCAAGATGCCCAGCTTACCCAGGACATCGGATGGGACCTGGTCGAGATGCTCGTCCCCGTCCAAGGGAGCGAGCAGTGTCTCGAGACCATTGCGCAGCTGGGTAACCCGCGCGAGGTCATCCTGAAGGTCCTTGAGGTCCTCGAGAAGAACGTCGACGATGCCACAGACGACGAGGACGACGACCAGACCACGGCCACATTCGTCAACCTCGTCGGCATGCTCAGCATCCTCCACAAGCGCCTGAACGTCGCGCGGCCCTCTCGCTTCGTCCACACAACCCTCCAGAGCGTCTACCGCACCTACCATCCCCGCAATCCTGAAATGACGGCCGCAGTCATCGCCCTCATCCGCTCCTTGTCAGGCGAAAAGCGACCGCCTCTGCCCACTCGCCAGTCGAGCAACAAGCTCGACACTCCCTTCACATCCAGCGACCCCACGAAGCACGCACCTGACCCGGAGGCGGGGAAGTCCCAACAACTCGCGCCAACCGAGCCGGCCACCACGAAGCGGCTACTGCAGTCCTTCATCACCTGCATAATCGAGGCCTATGTCAACTGCACGAGCATGGAATGGGCCTCCCGCCTGCTCGAGTTCTACAACCCGGAGCGCGTCGTGATCCGGAAAAGCATGTTGCGCGCCTTCAAGGAGGACGACGACTTTTTGGCCAGGGACGCTCTGGTTGGCCAGCTGGTGGTATGTACATACCTTCGTCCGATGTTAGCGTTGCGGACGGACGAACTGCTAACAATTTAACTAGGCGCTTGCAGGAGATCTCGGATTAACTCGAGTACATGACCTGTCTGTCAAGGAAATCTTCGAAGGTTCCATCGTCCACAGCCCCCTGTCCATCGATACCGATGCCCTTAGCCCCTCCGCCATCAAGCTTTCCACCGGAGGCGTCTGGTGTCTTGTGGCGTACTGGCTCTTCTCGGCAGAAGTCTTCGATGCGGATTACGAGCAGGTGCAGATGACAATCTTCCCCGACCATAACAAGCTGTTGCAGGGCTTCCTCGGCGATGAACCCCAGACTCGCATCGTGGGTAACCCAGGAACGACCGAGGCGCTGGTCGTGATGGGGCTGTATTTGGAGAACTACAAGCGCATTTCGCCATCAGACGGCCATGGTGATTTCATGCCTTACCATCACCTGCTGACGCTGGTCTCCGTGTTCCACCCGTCTCTCTCTGTACGCAATGTCGCCACGACTCTCGCCGGCCTCGTCCTGCACGACGACCCTGACGACAACGACCGTCTCAAGATCTTGGAGGATCTCCTCGAGAACTGCATCTTTTCCGCTCTGCAGGCCTCTGCCGTGACATGGCTGCGAGAGGAGGTGATTATTGCTCATAAACGCAAGCTTACAAACAGATTCGCGTCGACGGACGCCATTGATACCCTTCAGTACGCATTGTTTCCCAACCTGGCCTTCCTCAAGGACCAAGACGCCACCGCTCTCTGGGAGTACTGGGTGCAGAACTTCCCCTTCCACCTGCAACTCGCCAACTTTGCCTACTTCCTGTTCGCTGGCACCGAGTTCCAGCACCTCGTACCAGCGAGCATGCCGGGTGCCGTCGAGCAGCGCTACGTAGAGCCGCTGCTACATGCTGCCAAGACGCTACAGGCAGCCGTGGAAAAGAAGGAGATCGACGACCAGGGACAGGGCGGGGAGGTGTTCACGCAACTCGAGATCTTAACGATGCAATTAAAGAGCCTTCCTCTTCAGTAAGCTTTGTGTACATCAGCCGCCGGACATCAAGGGAGCCACGGCGCCGGCAAGCCGAATTGCTCTCTGATACAAGGCCTTGCATTTTTGGGCGTGGGTTCATGACGGAGTTTTTTTATGAATTACGAACCACCTAAGCTGCTGAGCAACGAGCAGCACGCAATTTAAAATCACAGTGCCAAAGCTTGTTGACCCGATTTGTGTGATCTTCGATGATGATGTGTGCTCAACACCGGTGCTTACCTGAGAGGCAGGTTGACTGTGACTCCGGGCCTCATAATCGTGGCTTTGCGGGCGGGCCACGTTGATACTTTAGGTGTCCTCACTGGGAGGGCTGTGTCGGCACCCATTCAACAATCCTAATTGAGACAGCTGGCCGTGGCTCTGCTCGACGTTGCTGAACGTGGTCAACACAACCATCATTCTCACCTACTCACTCCCCCGCAACCATCTCAAAGGCAGTTTTCCTCTCTTTAAACCTTTTCTTCCTCCTCCAGCCTTGTTCCTAATCGGAGCTTCCCGTGGTATCCGTCGATGACAGCCAGCCTCACTTTGAATCCCTCTACGACACGATGCGCCACGTTCAAATTTGCAGCCGAGACCCCGCGCAAGTGCTGTCGTTTCGATGCTGCTGTCTGAGCACATACTTTACATGTTTTTTCAGCGCACAAAGTGTATCTCTGGCCAACTCAGAAGGCCACACGTTAGTTGAAGGAGAGGCAGCTTGGCAAGACTGTCTCTCATGTGGGAGTTGAAAGTTTCCCTTTCACCGGCGATCATTCTACAGGCCACAAACAGACGGCGACTCAACTTGTTGCATCCGGCACCGCTCGCACGTGTCGTCTTATCCCCCACGCAGGACGTGACGAAGGAGCTTCGTGGGGATGGATGAAGTCCAAGCGGATTGCACATTACCTTGAGGGTCTGGTTCGGGCCTCCGAGAGCCGCATTGTTTCGTAAGTTGGAAACTCTTTCCGCCCCGTCTTGCCAAGCGCCCAAAGTGCCCCCGTCGAGAGAAGCTTGGCTTGGTGGAGGCGACGTCAAGTGTGGCGAGGGCGGTACGTGGCTGTGCTTCATGGACGTCCCATCTGCTCAGCCCATTGGCCTGCCGAAAGCCAATTGCAAAAATGTGGATCTTTGTTGTGGCGCCGTCAACGACACATGCGAGCAATCACGTAAAAGCCGAGAACCTGGAAGGCGACAGAGGCCAGGACGTGCAGGATTCCGCCGCGCCGCATCCCAAGGGGGTTTGAGCCAATTTGCTACAGATAGACGGCCAGCAAAGCAGACCCAGTCTTCAAGCGCCCGCTGTGGTTGAGGTTGCAACTCCAGTCGTTAATCTTGTGCGTAGCACTGTCCGACAAGAACCGGCCGGCAGTGTGATGATGATGGGCGCGAAGTGTGTGTTGTCAGTGAGGCATGGTAACGTTCAACACGCAAGAGATTGGTGGTGGGTTGATTCAAAGTGTGGTGTCCGGGACAGAGTCTCCGGCCAACCAGATCGCCTACCCCTGCACGGACCAATGCGGTCCAGCCAATGTAAATCTCGGCGCACGGTCCGGAGGGCCACTTTCCATTTGACAGGGATCCACCCTGGCACTGGGCAGGCCTGGCTAGCCCGCGAAGCCTTTTAGTGTGATCGAGAGGTGATGTCATAATGCCAGGGGCTGGAATTTCGCAGCAGCTCAGACTCGCTGCTGCTTTGGAAACGGGCTAGCACTGCGCGGCCGGCTTGCAGAAGCTTGCTTTTTGGTGTGAAACTCACCCGTACTGAGGCGCTCGAGACTGGCCCGAACAGGTCTCTGGCGTGTGCCGACAATACGCAGGGCGTTGCCGCTGTTCCTTTATTTTCTCCGTCTCCTCGTTGTCCGCGACGTAGCTTTCCCCCAGCTAACGCCCCCCTGGCTCTGCCGTACGTCAATCTCTGTGGTAGCATGACTACTGGCCAAGCACACCAGTGACGCGAATTCTGCGGTTACATTCTTCGCCCCGAGCAATAATCTCTTTTGTTTGGGAAGCCCGCCCTTTCATGGCAACATTGAATCACCGCGACTGACCCAGATCACGCCCTCACCAAATCTCGAAGACTGCAGCAGCATATTCAGTCACAACCAATAAACCCAAACGAAAGACCGCCTAAGAAGGTCGACGCCAACATGGCGAACCCACTTCCGACGGCGAACGTGGCCCTGGGCCAGACGGCAGATTCAGAAGCTGCCTCGACGCCGCAGACCGAGAGCCTTCACATCGACGAGATCAACGACGGCGGCCAGCAAGTGGCCGTCCTCCGAGACGAGAACAACAACATTGTCTACCCGTCCTACGTGCCTCCCGAGATCGACTCCCCTACCGATGCCGCGTCTCCCCGGACACCAAAGTCCGCAAACTTTCCCAATGCACCGGCACCGGAAGCGGCCAAGCCCCGGAAGACAACCTCAGACCCAACAGCTCTCGAGCAGACGAAGGCGACCGCCTCCACCGGGGAGCAAGATCGCCCGCCTATGGACGCAAGGTCGAGGACGGAGGCTCCTGGCCGCAAGACGAACCCACGAAATGCGCCGTTTCCCACTGTGCCCAAACGGGCGGGGACTTCCTACCTGAACAAGGCTATCTGGCAGGCGAACACGCAAGATTCAGACTCGACAAGCTCGAGCGACTCCTCGGATGATGAAGAATCAAGGACGCCAGCCGAACAGAAGGCTGCCGAGGAAAAGGCTCGGGCCAAGGCCAGGCGTCGACAAGAGTCCGAGGATCGCTACAGACGGTTCCGTGTAGGAAATGATAACTACAACACCAAAGGCAAGGTCAAGCGAGATGGTCGTCTGAGGATCTCGGTCAAGGAGACGGCAAACACAGGATATCTCGCCAAAGCTCTGGGCCACGCTGTCAAGAGGGTCGTACCGATCCACGAAGGCCAGGAGGACGGGGAAGAGGCCCGACGACCTGACCTGTCTCGCTTGTCGTCTGCCACCACGGCCACTGACCGCGAGCCGAAGCCGCGGCTTAATATTGTTATCATGGTGATTGGCTCACGTGGCGACGCACAGCCGTTTCTGAAGATCGGAAAGATTTTAAAGGAGGACTACGGACATCGGGTGCGCATTGCGACACATCCGGCTTTCCGCGAGTTTGTGGAGAAGGACTCCGGCCTCGAGTTCTTCTCCGTCGGCGGCGACCCCTCCGAGTTGATGGCCTTCATGGTCAAGAACCCCGGCATGATCCCCACTCTCGATGCCGTCAAGGCCGGAGACATTGGCCGGCGAAGATCGGCCATGGCAGAGATGTTTGAGGGGTTCTGGCGAGCCTGTATAAATGCGACGGACGACGAAAAGGACGTCCACAACCTCAAGATGATGGGCCAGAGGGACCCCTTCATTGCCGACGCGATCATCGCCAACCCACCCAGCTTCGCACACGTCCATTGTGCTGAAGCACTCGGTATCCCTCTCCACCTGATGTTCACTTTCCCTTACACGCCGACACAAGCGTTCCCGCACCCGTTGGCGAGCATCAAAAAGTCCAACGTGGACCCGGGATACACAAACTTCATCTCCTACCCTCTGGTTGAGATGATGGTCTGGCAGGGATTGGGTGATTTGGTCAACGACTTCCGAGTGAAAACACTCGGACTGGACCCGGTCTCGACGCTCTGGGCCCCAGGCGCAACCTACCGATTACACGTCCCATTCACGTACCTCTGGAGCCCTGGCCTCGTCCCGAAGCCCCAGGACTGGGGCGACGAGATTGACGTCTCTGGCTTCGTGTTCCTCGACCTGGCCTCGTCTTTCGAGCCGCCCAGCGACTTGGAAAAGTTTCTCGAAGCAGGGGACGAGCCCATCTACATTGGATTCGGCTCAATTGTCGTCGATGACGCCGATCGCTTCACGCAGATGATCTTTGACGCCGTCAAGATGGCGGGGGTTCGCGCTTTGGTGTCCAAGGGATGGGGTGGTCTTGGCGGGGACGAGATGGACGTCCCCGATAACATCTTCATGTTGGAGAACACACCCCATGACTGGCTCTTCCCCCGTGTCAAGGCATGTGTTATTCATGGTGGTGCCGGAACCACTGCGATTGCACTCAAGTGCGGCAAGCCCACCATGATTGTTCCCTTCTTTGGCGACCAGCATTTCTGGGGCAGCATCCTCTCCAACTGCTCTGCGGGCCCGGAGGCGGTACCCTACAAGCACCTTACCGCCGAGAAGCTCGCCGAGGGCATTAAGTACTGTCTCACGGAGGAGGCGCAAGAAGCAGCTGGCAAGGTCGCCAAAGACATTGAGCTGGAAGGCGATGGCGCTAAGAATGCGGTGCGATCATTCCACCACCACCTCAACCTGCAGGGTCTGAACTCCATGCGCTGCTCCGTCCTCAGAGACCGGGCCGCGGTCTGGACCCTGAAGAAGACCAACATCAAGCTCAGCGCTCTGGCCGCCGACATCATTGTCGAAGAGGGACAAATTTCGTGGAAGAGACTCCGCCTGCTTCGCCACATGGAGTGGAACGATTTCGAGGGCCCCGGCGAGCCTGTCACCGGCGTGGCTGGCTCGGTCGCTGGGACGTTGGGCAACGTGTTTGGTGGTGTGGGGAGCGTCCCTTACAAGCTGGCAAAGACATCTCATAAGCGAAAAGAGAAGAAGGAGAAGAAGAAGAGGCTCAAAGCGATGCGAGAGAAGCGCACGTCGGCCAAGAACCAGGGCTCGGAAGTCAATGGTCACGCGGAGACGGAGAATGACGTGCCCAAGGCATTGAACAGGCAAGAAGGCGATTCCAGTGAGAACGAAAACCAGGAAGCGCAAAACGGCCATGCCAAGGAGGGGACCAAGAAAGACTCTCAAACAAACGGCAACGCAGCCTCAGGACGACCCGCCCAGGGCGACCGCCGCGACACTATGTCTTCGGTCGAAACCGCCACGACGGTCGACAACCCCGTGGAGGACTACGCCACCGAGGTCGGCGACGGTGTCGGCAAGACGGCCTCAGCCCTGGCCCGCGCCCCGGTCGACCTCTCCATGGCCCTGGCGCAGGGCTTCCACAACGCACCCCGCCTCTACGGCGACGACACCGTCCGCCGCCCGCCCCGTGTGACGGGTATCCGCTCGGGTCTCAAGGCGGCCGGCAAAGAGTTCGTCTTTGGCATCTACGACGGCACGACCGGCCTCGTCCGCCTGCCCGTGCGCGGGGCCAAGAAGGACGGCTTCACGGGTTTCGTCAAGGGCACCGGCATGGGCCTGACGGGCTTCGTCCTCAAGGACCTCAGTGCCATCATCAGCCCCGTCGGCTACACTCTCAAGGGAATCGTCAAGCAGACGGAGCGCCATAAGCAGCCGGACCGGGTCGTCCGCCGTGCGCGCATTGTCCAAGGCCAGCGGGAGCGGCGACAGCTCGGCGACCGCAAGCGCGAGGTCGACAAGGAGGTCATCACGGGCTGGCTGACCATCCGCGAGCTCATGGAGGCCCTCGAGGTCGAGGAGAAGAAGAAGGGCATCACGGGCCGGCTGTCCTCCAAAAAGCAGCGCGTCAATCACGCCGCCTTTGAGAGCGTCGACGTCGCCGAGCGCACCCTCGCCGCCATCAGGAAGGGCGAGGACATCAGCACCGTCGTCGGCACGGAGAAGGAGCTGCGCAAGACGGACGAGAAGCGCAAGAGCCCCGCCGCGAGGCACAGCGTAGACACGAGGCGGTCGGGGGAGAATGACCGAGGGCGAAAGTCTGCAGAGAACCCGCCAAGCACCACAAAGGATGACAGCGCCCTCGTCGAGAACAAGACGGGTGAGGCGCAGGCAGAGGCGGACGCTGAGGCAGCGAGCAAGTCTGAGCGGCCGGGTGTTGAGCGCTCGACGTCGTTGCAGGCTTAGCATGCCCGAGATCTATCGTCAATACGGCGGATTTTCTTTTGTCGCTCATAAAGATACAGAAACTTTTAGGCATGTCCATGGCATGCGTGTTTGGCGTTTGGGATTCTAGACGTTCAAATTATACCCCGTTTTTGCTAGTATTGCGTAGGGAGTCGTAAGGAAAGCGAAGCGTAGTCATTGTAGTTGGAAATAATTCAGGTAAAAGTAATCAGCTTCAATCACATCATCTGAACTCTCTTGCATTTCAACGTGACCGTTTGTATTAGGTATTATTTATGGATGTGGGTATGATGTTGTGCGTTTAACCCTCCTCGCCACGCCGAGCCCAACTCTATCGACTCCATGGTCTTCCACTTCTACGCGTCCCCATACCGACATGATTACTTGGAGACCTCCTCACGGAAAACCCGGACCTCCTGGCAGGCTGTGCAATGTTAGCAAAAATCAGCATGCCAAATCAAGAGAAGACATACTGGGATTGACGGGTGCACCACCGGTGACCCAAACGAGAGCTTGGTAGTAGTAGTTGCCGACAAAGGTCCAGCAGACGTGCCAGCGGTAGTACTTTTCTGCGGTGTAGTTGACCTTGTCGGGGACAGCCTTTGAATCGTCCTGGCGACTGTAGATGAAGAGCTCGTTGTCATCGTCGTCGAAGCCAAAGCTGTAGATGCCCGTGGTGCCGGGAGAGAAGATGGGAATGGCTCCATTGCTGACCAACTGAAGCTGGAGGTCCAGAGTCGTAGGAACAGGGTCACCATTGCCGATGGGCAAGTTCCAAATCAGAGGGCCGAGAGTAGGCTGGCTAGAGCTGGTGGTCATGTTCCAAAAGTACTCTGAGTGAGTTTGCGCGGAGCCATTAGTGCTGCGCTCAGGGCAGAGACCAGCTTGGCCAGCTCCAGAGTGGCATGATGCGAGGTAGGTCCCCTTGCATGACGGCTCGCTACGAGGCACATACTTGAGGTAGAAGGGCGAAGACTGCGTTGTCTCTTGGGCAGAGACCAGGGCGGCGCCCAAGAGAGCAAAGACGGCGGTGGCCTTCATGTTGTCAATGGGAGAATGGGTCGAGATTGTTTGGGTTGGAGAGAAAGAGGGGAGAAGTGATGCTGATGAAGATGGAATGTGCGTGACTGGAGGGCGGCAAGTTGAGTCTTATACTGAGGAGAAGAGTCGTCGGTGTACCTTGAAGATGGCTTCGTTGCGAGAATACGAGTTCTGTCGGACAAGGCTAGCCAAAGACGGGTTGTGGACGGTATGTCGTTGGGATGGAGGTGGGAGATGTTCGAGAAGATGGAGGGGTCTAAATAGGGATAGCGGGCAAGGCGAGAAGACGGTGTGCTTCCCTCAGCACACTACTCTTTTTCCACGACTTGGGGCATGGTTCCTTCTCCGCCATGTCGTCAGTCAAGCAACAGGCAGGAGATCCCAAGGGAGCCGCAAACTTACCGTCAGAACCCCGCTGATCTGCTTTCCTGTGAGGCACATTGCTTCCTCACTCGGAAGCAGACAGTTGGGTGCTGTTACCTCAGGGTAGCATGACGTCCAACCAGTCGTATGAGCCGGGCGACCCGGTGCCTTTCCAAATGTCTGTCAGGCTGAAAGGGGAAAAGGGAAAGGGAAAGGGAAGCTACTCGCTGGGGCATGTCGATCACCGCCCGCCCACAAATCGGCTCCGATGGACATGGAGCTAGGAGGGAACGAGCCAGTGAGGGAGGCGGCAGCCAGACTCGGTCAAAAAATCTGGGGAAACAGCTACGCAGGCGGATGTCTGATTTGGATCGTCACACAGGGTCGCACTGCGTCAGCGGCCCTGCTCCACCCGTAAACGACTGATGGCATCGTCGGACGGCAATCACGCTTGGTGTTCAAGTCATGGCAACCCACATTTTCAGCCACGCCGCTTCGCGTGGATCGAATTCCAACTTCCGCAGTGTGGGTTGATCTGAGATTGATGATTGAAAAGAGGGGAACGGGAGTCTAGAACTGAAGCTTCCTTCGAGAAAAGAAGCATAAAATCTTGTTTGGCTTCTCCAGTGGCAGCTTCAATGTCCTCCCTTGCGTCGGCGTCGTGGGTACGCAACGGAGCGCCCGCCACATGCACGTCATGGACGCCGGGAACCGCGATTGCGGCTGAACGTCAACTGTCACCCTGGGGCGATCACAAACAACGCGTTTGCAATTTAGGCATTCGAGACAGAAAGGCGGGTTTTCGCTTGATTTCTCCAGCGTTGAGGATTGCAGGAAATTCAGCCCGAGGGCGTTTGCAAGGGGGGCAAAGAGTGAACACCATGTGTTTGTGAGACATGACGTTGAAACCAGCACTCTACACACGCGAATGGTGCCGATAGCCCGGCCAAAATGCTTGGCTTCCCGTTGATCTCGAGCGGTTGGCGGACCGAGACATGAGCTTAGCATACGGGTTTAATGAAAGGGCCGACTGACAACAAACAGGGGCGAAAGGGCGGTGCAACCCGGGACCAGCAAGCTTTGGGCGACTGCGGGGAGAATCGCAGGCATCCAAGAAATCTTTTTGCTGCCGAACGCTGATCTCCCGTATCCTCCGCACCGGCGAGGGCGATCTCGCGGCCGTTGCTGACAGACGCCGGTTATGGGGTGAGCAGCGTTGCCGAATGCGGGAAGAAAGCGAACGCCGCTCGAGTCGTCGCAGAATGCTCCCTTTCGGGCCCAGTCTGCCTAGCCTAGTCAAAATGGTCTTGCGGGCTACGTTACATTACTTTCAAGTTATCATAAAGGTATCCGCCATCTCCTTTGGGCAGCTAGTTGTCATCAATGGAGTCGTGCATCTATCATTCAAGCTCAAGTATGTACAATGAAGACGTAAATGCCAAGGTATCCAGACAACCAAAAGGCCATCAACCATGGTCTATAAGACGTCACGCCCTAATTGCAAACACCGGAGCTGGCAATGGTGTTAAGGTCTGTGGGGACAATACCCGCGATGACAGCATCTAATCATTGTTAGTATCGAACACTCACGCAGTGGGGTGCGTTGACATACCTCTGTAGGACCACCGGTAGTCTCCGAGCTGAGCCTTCCACGACCAAAACACCCAGCCGGCGGTGTTCTTCTCGTAAGAGTGCACCTGTGCCGCGAACCACTTCTTGTAAAAGTCCTTTTGCGTGTCCTTGCTCCAGCCGTCCGTGTTCTCGACCGAGTCCGGAGGGCTGATGCTCCACTCGCCGACGATGGTGGGGCCGGAGGAGTCGCTGTTGCGGTTGTCGTTGCACGACGTCGAGATGTAGTCGGCGTGCGTAACGGGCACGTTCGTCGCCCACTTGAGGTAGCGGTGGTCGTCAAAGGCGGTGAAGTACTTGTCGTCCAGGAACTCGACCGGGTTGCCGGAGCCCCAGAGCGTGTTCATCATCTGGATGTGGAAGTAGTTGTTCGCCGAGACGCCGAGGTCCTTCTCAACTTGGCGGATGGCCTATGGAAAGCATGTCAGCGATGTGGTATCGGGGTACGAGGATGGAAGACTTACATTGTAGGCGTTCTTGTAGAAAGTGCTGCGCATCGAGGGGACGGCCGAGTCCCAGCTGGTGGGTTCGTTGACGAGCTCGATCATGCCGACGTTGCGCATCTCATTGTGGTCGTGAGCGAGCTTCCTGAGGTACTGGAGGAACTTGACGGCTCGGCCGTACTGGTAGTCGTTGTAAAAGCCGGCGGAGGGCGCGAACTATTCTGGTCAGATCGGGAGTCCCGCTCTTCACTGAAGGTCATCTTACTTGGCCAGTAAAGGCGTTCTGAGCGACTTGGGCACCGGGGGCACCGTGGTGGCTTCGAGGATGTCAGCTAAAGAAAACCTGCACGTGTTGGCATGACTTACTCCAAGATGATGTAGAAGCCACGATCGCTGGCCCATCCGCAGAGTTGGATCAAGTACTTCTCAGCTCCCTGGCAAAGGTTAGCCAATGCTTCACGTCCTTCCGCGACGCAACACGAACCCTAGGGAAGTGCTCAGAGTTCTTGTCGACCAACGACTCATCCAGCCAGTAGCCGAGCGGGATACGGATCGTGTTGATGCCGTAGCCCATCATCTCGTCGAGATCGGTCTGGGTGATCCACGAACCCCAGTGCTTCTGGAAAGCCGCGTCTGCCTTGTCCTGGCCGATGTTCATGACACAGTCGAACTCGGACTTCTGGCCGCCGCAGCCCATGTTGTTCCACTCGGTGTTGGCCATCCACGGCTCAAAGACGAAGAGGGAGCCCAGGTTGACACCCCTGATCTTGCCGGCGGCGGGCATCCAACGCTTGCCAACGCTGTGCGCCTCATCGTCGGTCGTGTTCTGGCCGTCGAACAGGCTGAAGCCACGGGTATCCAAGAGCTTCTTTGAGCCATCGACGGGCAGCCATGCGTGGGAAAGCTGAGCGGTGGCAGCGAGCGCCAACAGTGTAAGACGAACCATGATGAACGATTGAAGATGGTGGCCCAGTTAAGTTGATAGGGATAGAGAGCAAGATGCATCGACAAAACGTGGCGAGACGGGCCGTCTTAACAAGCTTTTCCACACCCTAGCGATGTACGGGACCGAACGATGACCTCAGTAGCCGCCGAGCAGCAACCGAAGCCATTGAGTAAGAAAAGAGATTATTCCAGGGGGCTCAGCCGCGGTGCGGTAACAACGGACTGGTTGGGGTCAAGACGCTAGCGCAAATGCCGATCATGGGAGCTCGCTTCGACTCCAGATCTTGGTTTTCAATGGACATGTTTCTTGAATCTATCTCATCAAGGTTTAAGCGTCTACGGCTATTTGGGGAGCATGCAGGGGGGTATTGTGGGATCGGATTGCAGGTTCATCCAATACGAGCCAAGGAAGAGGGATGAAAAAAATAGGCTGCCGTTTGTTCCTGCATCCGAGCATCTCGACCAGGTGCAATTGACGGCTGCCTGGAGATATGTCTCTAGCACCCCCCACCATCGTAAAGCCGTAATAGGTTATCCTGCCAAGCTAGGCTTGGCTGAGTGAAGAAGGATTGGCGTGCG